CGCGGGTTCGAATCCCCGTCACCGAACCTGCTCGTTCTTTCAGCCTTGGAGGCGATATAATGTGACAGTCAAACCCGCTATTCGTTAGTAAAAGAGTAATCCAAGAGTTGGCGGTGGGTGGTTTTTGACTAGTTGCATTCCCTCTAGTCTATCACTGCTAAATTAGGGACGCCTAGCGGATATAGTTCAAGTGTAGATTTGCGCGAAATTCAAACCAAAACTAATCTATAATTTATCGTAAGATAAAGAATGTCGTAGTACATAATAAGAAGCACATTACTAAATTATTAACTCCTTTGAGGTGCCCCCCAGTGGCACAGCGGTATGTCTGAGGACTTACAACGCTAGAAACAGGGTTTCGATACCCGTGGTGGGCAGAGCACAGATAGCCCTTGTGTAGCTTTGTGCATAATTAAAAAACAAACAAACAATCCTTTGGGGCTGAACGTGACCTAGTGGTTTACTATATAATACGAATTGTGATCCGAAGATTCGTGATTGGAAATTTCTTTCCACAAGAACGTGTTCCGCTCTTCACATTTCACGGTCAAATCCAACTATTCTATCAGTAAATAATATCCCAAGAGTTGGCGGTGAGTGCTGTTAAATATTTGCCTTCCCTCTAGTCTGTTAGTTTGAAAATAATTCGAAACTAGGGACGGCTATACGCAGATCGCCTTTATGAAACTTTGCGCGAAATTTTGAAACAAGTAAACGAAATGTATTATTTTACAGTACACGCTGAACGTGAACTTCCATGATCCAAAAAAAAAACGAATCCCGATTAATATAATTTCAAAAAATATTACAGTGCTGTTCCGAATAACGTGCTGCATAAAATGTATCCGTTATAATTTAAAAATAACTAACATATAAAAGCGTATAAAATAGTCCCAGTGACTCAGCGGTAAGCCTGAGGGCTCATGCCTCTAAAATCCAAGTTTCATAATTGTGAGCACAGCACAGATAATCCATTGCGTTCCTTTGTGCTTAAATTCAATCAAAAAATGTTCAAAAAACAGTTTTATCTCCTTCAAAACTATATTTTAATGTAGGTCAGGCTTCGTAAACACCATTACAACAGCTTGAACATCTAAATTATTATATCAGTAAATATAAATTTTCTGATTTTTCTATTGCAGTTTTTGGAATAATATAATTTGACCAGATTAAAAAAATAACCGCCTACAGCGGTTCGTAAAAAGAAAACCTACCAAAATTAATCATTAACATTAAAATCCATAAGTCGTTTACCTCTTCTGAATGAGAAAGCAAATGAATATCCAACAAGTAGAAAAACAAAAATGCACAGAACTTGCATGGACATAATGACTTAGTGGGAAACACTCTGCTGGGCCTAAATTACAAAACGATGTCCCTGAGGCTCAAATACAAACCAGTTAATATACTGATAATGTGAAAAAGTGTGCTCACTCGATTGATCTCAACCTACCGTAACTAAACTGAGATAATTTTCGTGGAACAAACCCTGCCGGCAGTTAGATGAAGCCGGAAGAGGAGACAGGGAACCGGAAGTATGCCAGTTTTCTGACAGGAAGTGCGATATCACTTTTCCTTTACTTACATTTCGACACATAGGTTTTAAGCCTAAATTAGAGATTTTTTCCCAATAAATTCTTTACTCATACATTATAACTCTGACACCTTAATAAAGTCCTATTTAAGTGTATACTTTCTTTGGAATTTCAAAACTACGAGCTTCAAAACAAGTCAGTTTTTATCAGTTTTGTTTCAATCTTAGAATAAAGTAGTCACATGGTTAGTTGTTTTTAACTACCTTTAAATAATGTTTAATTATTTTACAACATTTTGATCAATCTTATTAATAAATTTTGATGGCCTTTAAGAATGTATTTATAGAACTTGCGCTAAAAAATAACTGTGTTTTCCAAATTTATTATAATAAAAATTCTTACAAAAATATTTGGTCAAAAGGTGTGTTACATATTAAACCTTAATTTTTTAAATACTTGATTTATAAATAATCTTAATCTCACTTGATTTATCAATAATCTTAATCTCATTTTTTTATCTTGCTTTTTACTTTCAAAATGGCGCGGGTTGGCCCTCTGGTTACAGTTCTAGATAACGAAGATGCTAAGCCAAGTTTGAATTTATACGATATTATAAAATATTCTCCACACTTCAAGCTGTGGGTGTGTTATGAGATGACAGTCTCACTACCTCGGATGCGTGATATTACATACCATTTTAATATTATCGTACAATCTTTTGTCGTGCATGAAATTTTAAAACGCTATTAGATAAGTCTATTTGTTTGTTGGTAAACACAAAGCCACCAAAGTTATCGAAACCCGGTTTTTAGCGTTAGCCTCCTGAATATGTTTTATGGTTCTGTTGAAGAAACCGTTTGGACCATATAGATATATGTGTATATTGTTGCGTCATCGAGATCACGTGACAATTCTCACGCTCTCTTGTTTCTAGAACAATCATGTACTTTGGCGAATGTTCTACTTCTTGCTAGAAATAGGTTACGCTGGTATATAAAAGATGGGAATGTAATGTGTGGGTAGATAGTGAGTAATTGATCTGCGGTCGGAGTAGTATTGCTATAGCATTTGTTTAGCGCG